TTTTTAGAAAGTTCCTCGTCATATGTTCTAAAAAAGTTTAGTGTCATTAATATTTTAATACGCATATATTCAATATATATATAAATACATATATTCACATAGTAGAGGACTTTCGACAATAGCTGAGTTTAAATAAAAGGTTTGTTTGTTACTCAAAAATCATTAATCATTATGCGAATTTATGCGAATCAAAATTCATCTATCAAACTTATTTAAGGACAATCGGATTCGATCAAACTATAACGGTAGGATCTTATATTTTAATGCGTAAACAAATTTGTAAACAAATTTTATATAAAATTTCTGGTTTTACACTGTACAATAACCTTCTTCAAACAAAGAAATTGTATTAAAGCATGCGCAAAACATCAACTGGTTCAACTCCTGTTCGGGGGGCTAAAACTGCAAAGTCAACGTCTTCCGCTACTTCTCAAAAAACTTCTACTTCATCCACTACTTCATCTTCTTTACAATCCAATCAAACAGGTTTAAAAAAACCATCAACTGTCAAGAGATCAGGTGCATCTGTTTCTCAAAATAGTTTATCTCCAAAAAATGCTTCCCCACGAAATTCAAGATCTCCATCACCTTCATCCGCAACAACTTCGAGACCTATTCGAGCGACTGCTTCATCTTCTATTAAAGATGCAATTGCTCAAGCTAGATTAAAAAAAGCAAACAATAAAACTTCTACAAAAGAAGAAGAACAAGAAATTGGTGCCAAAAGTTTAAATGTAATAGTTAAGCAAGCAAAATCTTCAGGTATAAATTATAATATTTATTAAATTGTCATAAATCTTTTTATAAACTTGAAATAAATATATATTTCTATTTTTCTTATAGGTCGCATAAATATCTCCCATCGTTCTCTTAAGGCAATTCCGGAAGAAGTATGGAGAATGTACGAAGTTGATCCAAAAAGTATCACTATTGATTTTAGCGGAGGTGGTTCAGATGTGTGGTATGAAACAGTTGACCTTGTAAGAATGGTGGCAGCAGATAATCAACTTGAAGTAATTGATAAACGAATTGCAGAATTTAATGCTCTCGTTTTCATTGATGTAAGTATTATTACTTTATTATTATTATTATCGTTATTATTATTATTTACTATACGTCATTCTGGTTATACCGACATCTGGATATAACGAAATCATAGTAAAATCTTTCTGTATCGACATTTTTTTCTCGAAATCTTTCAAAATTTAATATAAAATGTTGGTATAACTCACTGTATCGATATTTTGAATTTTTTTTACTAATGAAAAAAAAAAATTGTCGATATATCCAGAGTAACGTGTATAATATTTTACAATACGTAAATCTGATGAATAATTTCAATTTATATTAGCTTCATAACAATAATTTATCATCTCTTCCAAAAGAGTTTGGTGAATTACAAAGTCTTACCACACTTAATTTATCAATTAATCGTTTTAGCGAACTTCCTGCTTGTTTGACTACATTATCTTCTCTTGTAGAATTACAACTTTCTTCAAATAAATTAACTGGTGTTTTAGACTCTTCCTTTGGCAATCTGTCTAAATTGGAAATACTTGATATTTCATCAAATGAAATCACTGGATTACCAAAAGAAATTGAAAATTTAAAAAATCTTCGAAAATTAAATCTTGCAAAGAATAAATTAAAAGAAATTCCTGGCTTAGCAATAAGTGGAATGAGGAATTTGGAAGAACTTGAAATTAGCGAAAATAAATTAGAAATAGTTTTTATCGGATTGGATGGTCAGACAGTTGAATTACATTCTTTGAAAAGATTAGATATTCGTCAAAATAGATTAAAAGCTTTGGATGAATCACAGAATGCTACCATTTTTCATCCAACAATAAAACTTCCGAAACTTAAAGAATTTCTTACTTCTCTTAATCTATTTGAAACTTTTGGTCCTCTGCTTCATACAACGCCTGATCTTGAGATTCTTGATATTGGTGATAACAAATTTCGTGAACTTCCTGAAGGTTTATTATCACTGAAGAGTTTAAAACGGTTGGATCTAAGTAATAATGACTTTAAAGTTTTACCAGCCGAATTAGGCATGCTGACAACTCTGGACTTTTTGGGCTGGGAGGGAAATCCTATAAGAAATGCACCAAAAGGTTCCAAATCTACAGCTGCAGTATTAAAATTATTAAGGGATAGGTTGACAACTGTCGGTAAGTGCATTATATCTTATTTTATTTTTCGGATTTTTCAGATTTAATTAACTAATTTATAATGATTTTTATTAAAATAGACTTTGAAAACATGGATGAGCCTACTATCCCAGAAAGAACTGCAAATCATGCGAGAACATCTATCGATAC